AGCTCACTACTAATTCGCAACGTGTCTTCCAAGTGAATATAGTTAATTATAGTAAATTATTATTAAGTATTGATATTACGATTTCCTTATTTTTAATATTACTAGCCCACCACGTCCCCCAACCAATTCCTTATTCTCTTTTCTAGGTTGTGTAAGTAATCGATTTAAGATTTTTTTTTCAGTAACATTAAAGTAAAGGTGAATTTCGAAAGAAAAAGATATATATAAATAATTGATTTGGTACTATACTAATATTAAACAATACAAATGAATGGAAAATCCATTTCGTACATAACCTAGACAATAGAATAAGGAATTAATAGTTATTTATATATGATTTCAAAATTAAAATCGGTCTTTGTACTGGGTGAATTTTTTCCGACGCTTTTGGGACTTTTGTGTTGAACATTTTCTGATCGAAAAAGTTAGTGACTTGTGACTGGGTTACTGATTTCCAAGAATCTTAGCCGTAGTTTATCTCTAATCACATAAAGCGTTCGGGAAACTCGGGCACACTAATGATCAGTTGCTACAGTCACGCACATAACCCACGATGGATATAGAATATTGTCTAAGCACGACCCCCTAAAAATGGTCCGCTTTTTACAGCGTTTACTACAATTCATAATATAAAGTGTACCTCTATAATATAAGTACATTATAATTTAATTTATATACTCTTTAAAAACCTGAAAATTGTGTAATTATCTATTTTTTAACTTGATTAAAACGAGGTTTATGTTATCTTTTATCTTGATATTTTTTCATATTCGATTATCTGTTATCTTACACAGATAGTTTTAAAGTTATCTGTGCACAATACTTCCCTACAGCCCGGCTCAAGAGGCAGGCGACATAGGCCAAAGCCTAGGGCGGCACTTAAGGAGCACTTTAGTAAGAGGGCGGCATTTTAAAAATACTGATAATATTATATTGTTAGGGGCGGCAAAATTTGATTCTGAGTTCACTATTTTTGCTTGAGCCGGCCCTGTTGCGCTATCTATATTATTATGAAAATTGACTACTATACGATTTTATTATTCAGTACATCAATATTGTGTACGCTCTATTCACGACGGTAGTAAAAATATTACATAAATTTCCTCGACGGAAACCGATGTCGAGGACTATATACGGCAGCGGGTGACTATATTTTGCGGTACACATTTTAAATGTATCTACTTTTGTTACAGCCTTACAGGTTTAAAAATAACCGGAAAAATATAAAAAGAAGACAATTGTTGGGAAGATTTACGACGCTTTTATCTCTCGAATATCATCGTCGATCAAGTTTATCTCCGAACGACGAATCCGGTAACTCAAGTTTAACTTTAAATATTTTATATTTATTATGATGAATATTACACAGGAGACAATCTCACGCGCCCGTCAGAGTGTACCCCTACCGTGACCGCTTGGAGACTCAAAGGGCAATCTAAATCCTCACGAGTCACGACACACACACAGTGGTCGAAGTGGAGGGATACCATCCCTCCACTTTTTTTTTTTAGTAGTAATTTACCATTCCCCTATTTGTTTTGTTTAAAATTACCCATTTCTCTTAGATTTTGAAAAATTAATCGGTTTCAGAATTTGTATCTTGTTATATTATAAAAAAGATATTGACTTATTTGTTTTTATAAATATAATATGTCTAAATAATCTTCAAACACTTTGGTTTTCCAAAATTCAAGCATATGACACCGGATGTCACCTGCAAACAAAACAGTTACTCGGCCGCTAAAGATATAATTTCACAATACCTAGCTTAATATTTTATTATAATTACTATTATAGGTAATCATTAATCACTGCAGACCATTAATAACCGAGTTAGTCAACAGCACAGTACTAATGTCAGTAACTCATGTTTAGCTTTAAATATTTATTATGATGAATATTACATAGGAGACCATCTCTCCGCCAGAGTGTACCCCTACAGTGAGCGCTTGGAGTCTTAAAACGAAATAATATATATTATCATTAATAACTGAGTTAGACAACAGCACAGAACTCTATCGGTAACAGATGTACTGGAGCTTAAAAAAATCGTAACAATTTTCAATCACAACTATATTGTTGACCTTTATATTATAATTATTGCTCGGCTTTTTTAGAATATTTTATATATTTATTATATTTAATCTCTGACCTAAGTAGTATGCTAATATAGTTTGTTAACGCTATGTTTGTCGTATTTTATTTTTAATATAGAAATCTTTATTCATTTTGTTTGGATGTCAATAGAATTTGAATCTTTAAATTATCGTCAAAAAAGTGTTTGCTTTCGTTTAAAAATCAATTTTATTTGCTTATTCATTTTTTTGACATTAAAATGGAATTCAAAGTCCACCGATTGCTTATTAATACAAAGCGCAGGATTTCGGCTAATGTTTTCCAGCTGCAGAGTGAAAAAAATACATATAACACATTAATCCATCGGTGAAATCGGTCTGAGTCCACGAAATCCCGATTTCCGATTGATCTAAATGTAGCACCAAATACTTTTTTATCCACGGATCAGGTACACGAATATTATTTTCAATCCAGATCGACTTTTTGTGAGTGGCTTAATACGTACGTCATGACAGTATATTATTATAGTATCCTCGGCAAAACACGAATAAGCATTTAATGGATTTAAATAGATACGAGCTAGTATTGGATCGAGTGCATAGGCGTGTCTATAATTTATTCGCAGAAGTGGTCAACAAAAATTTCATGGTAGAAAACCAGCTATGACTTTTTTAGAAATCTCTCAACAAATCTCTTGAATACGTGCTGATTCCTGGACTCTTTTTAAGAATACCACAATAATATGATAAATTGTTGCTGAATCACCAATATAAGCGTCGACGATAAGACGTCTATATTTAGCGCCCTGAATCTAAAAAATTCGACTATTCGACACTACGTCATGACAAATATTTTATCATTTTTTACTACTACGATATTTTAATATATTCTAAATTTCTAACATTAACTCAAATTTCAGCTAGAAGCTGATTTCGCTGGTATGGCTATGACCATATATTGGTCAAACCCGTAAACACGCCTACGACCGAGTGGAATGGTTTCTAGCAGGATAATTATGATGGATACGATGGTATATTAGACTACAATATAGGAGTTCGGTGATTTGGTTCAAATTACAAATGAGATCTTTATTTAAAATTATAAAACACAACATAATATCTAAGTATCAATAATAATATTGTAAATACAACGGACACTAATTAATATTATTATGTATATTGTTCATACTGATTATTATATCTGTCGTAAATGCTACCTATATTATAATAATATTGTGGTGCACGGGAAAAACGACAACGTTTTATATCTCCGATTTCTTCGGCCAGTGTGCCCATGGCGTGCACAAAACACTCGTCACACTATTATAATAATCACTAAATATAATGTTATAATTTATATGACTAAACATATTGTCGTTTAATAATATTATAATATCTCTTAAAATAATATTATAAATATGCGCACACGTTATTTAAATATGTATATAGGTATATAAAAAGAACATGAAGGTATGTAAATATCTTATATTATAAAAAACGTTATTTGATAATTATAAAAAAAAATAATAATAATAATAATAAAATAAAACAACAGAAAGTATAGTACAAAAGGTTGTATGAAAATAATGGAGAAAAGCCCAAACTTTAAAAAAAAAAATTATAAACGTATCATATAGCACCAAGGATAACAACAGTCTGTCGAAGGGAATCGTGAGAGTGGATCGATAGAAATAACGAGTCGTAATCGGAGTTGGTTGGGTTACATATTTTGTAAAAATGAAAAAAAAAATTATACAAATATAGATATTGATACAATAATAATAATAATATTTAGGGTGAGATTTCTCTCCTCTAGCTCGTAAAAAAAAACCTGTGACAAATCCCGAAAAAATTCGAGTCTGGGCGGAAATCGTTTACCGTCGGCAAATCCTCTGATTGTGGTAAGTACCTACCCGTAAGGAGTGTCTTTTTTTTATACACCTCAGCTTACAACATATTATATTACTATAATTATTGTTGTGTCTCAAATTGTAAACAGACATATTATTCCACTGCTGTCGATGTACGAACAATAATAATTATTATATAGCGATCTGATTAAAATAAAGTCGATACGATGTAATCGTTGTGACGACGAAAATAGTATAAGATAATATGATACGATTTTGGTACAACCTTAAGTCTGTGAACTTTGTCGAGTATAAATAATTTTGTCCCGTTTCCCTGCGCTGCTCGAAAATGTCTCGGCGACAAGGACGGAGTCTTTTTTCACTCTACTCTACACCTACGTATTAGTTTTTGTCGTTCAGTCTATCGGGTGATAAATTTAAAAAAAAAAAACAAACCATATTTAGTAAGCTCAACGCGACAAATTCGTTTGGGTCATGTATGGAGGTAAACATAACATCTATGTAGTATATTTATATTCATATGATAATAATACGTATTATCATACAAACGCGTCTTATACGTAATTATGTGTTAAAATATGTTTATAGTGTCGTTTACAGTTATTTAGGTTAAAACACATATAGGTCGACCAATGATATTCGATAGTATAATATTAAATAATGATACGTAATTTATATATATAGTTAAATATTATATAATAGTAATAATTCCGAAACTAGTGTCGTTTAAACACACCTAATATACATAATATAAATATTCTATAGATCACGGGGCAGATGAGGAGACTAGAACGTTTTAATTATTCAGGAATGGTAGGAGGGGGTTGACTACGGAGGTAGAATAAGAGGTCGTCAGAGTATTGGAAACGTCCCGTACGGTTAGTACCTATATGTAATTCGAAATTCATATTCGTCAGGACTGTTTTCGAAAAAGCAGTCGGGACGCGGCACATCCCTCCCACCACGGGGCTGTCTTCTTATATTATTATCCTCTACAATACTAATATTCTATGACGATATTGAAATATAAAGATAGGGGGCGCGCGGCCTAGTATTATTGCCCGTACGACTGTTGCTGGTGCTGCTGGAACAGCCTGACGCCGTTGTGGTGCGTGGGTATGGTCGAGTGGTTCCGCGACCGGACCGCCGGAGTTTTGGTACCGCCGACTCCGATGACGCCGCCACCGCCGGTTGCGTTGTACGACGACGACCACTGCCGTTGGTGCTGCTGGTAGTTGTTCTGGTTCTGCTGTTGCTGCTGAAGGTTCTTCTGCTGCTGCTGCTGCTGGTACTGTTGATAGTGCGACGGCGCCTTGACGTGGGGAGGGGGCGGCGGCGCGACGTTATGCGGCATCGTCCTCCAGCCGGGTACCGACCCGGGCCGGTTCCGGGCGCCCCGCGGTTCCGTGAACGAGCTGAGTGACACGTTCGTGGGCCTGGTGCACGGATCGGGAGGCATTCCGGGCCTTGGCCCCCGGCCGCCCTTGTGTCGGATGACCACCGTGTCCACGGTCTGCAGGTCCGCCGTAACTGGCCCGGCGTCGCTGTTCGTCGTCCGTCGGCGACAGAGTGGACGTGGACGCGGCCGGCGACAACTGCAGCGGCGGCGGAGGCGGCGGCAGCGGCATGGTGGCCGCAGTGTCGTGGCTGCTGTTGGAGTGCACGCCGCTGGACGACTCGCTGTGGCCGCTGCACGCCGCCTGCGGCGAGTGGCCGGCCGCTGATGCCTCCGACTCAGACTTTACGGTGTCGTCCTCCTCGAAATCGTCGGCGGCCGTCATCGACGTCGGACCGGCCGCGCGCTGCGATCCCTGCTGGCCCGCCACTGACGTTTTGCTGTACACGCCACTGCGGTACGTGTGATCGCGCACTTGTTGATGTTGCTTGGACACCTGTAACGAAAACGGTCAGGTCAAATTAATATGATTATAAGATTAATACATAATAATACATAATCGGGGGGGGGGTATATCTTATAATGTGTTCATCGGATTTATTTCAACTAGGGTCTCGTTTAGCATACTGATGTCGAGGTTTTATTTTAGGTTTCGGTTCCTGTACGGCTATACAAATTTATATTTGTAATAACTTTCATAAACCATATAAATAATTTTTAATTTTCTAAAAACTTCCAGTGGGGAGTGGTACATTCTCCCCGGCAAAGCTAATAATACATTATAATATTACACTATATTTAGTATCTATACTCAATGGTATTATGTCATTATACAGTAGGTACTGATTGAATACTATATTATCATACCTATAATAGCTATATACAGTAATCCGACTGGTATCGAATAATCGCAGTTATGATATTATTATAATATCATAGTTTAACACCGCACCACACACATTATTTCGTTAATATATTTTATTTTTTTAATTTGTTCGGTAATATTTTGATCATTATTTAATTATTTGATTTGTATGTTTTACTGTTCTCAATTAAATAATACCTATAGGTACGCATAAGCAGAGAAAGCAACTAGGTACTGACTTCTCATACAATAGTCAACCACAAATCAGTCCTAAAATCCTACAAATGTATTGAACAATAAATGTGAAAAACGAATAAAATGGATTTTTTCTTGTGATATACTGAATATTTTTCCTAATGTCTTCATAAGGTTCAAGTTTTTTGTTACCATACCCTTAACAAGTTGCACCTGTGAAAGATCAAAACTAAGTATTGTTATAACAAAGTTTCGAAGTACTTTGGGTCAAGAAAGATTAGATGGACTCTAAGCATAAGGATTCTAATATGTGTATTGAGCAGGATCAAGAATAAGAAGTCATAGTAGTTTTTAAAACATTAAACCCTACCTTCAAAAGAGTAGAGACGCATGAAGTTTCAATGAAATATAATATTTTAAAAGTTAAGTATTTAAATACTATGTTTTCTATTTTGTTGTTTTTCGTAGACATATAATATTGTTATTATAAAATACTTATTGAAAACTGTTGTGATATTTGTATAACCTAACCATATGGCCCGTATAGATCAATATACTATATGGTTTAATAATAGGCCTACATCCACGGGGGAGGTGGGTCCAAACACCTAGGCTTTTCAGTCCTCATATATACCACTATATGTATACAATGCGTGCGTGGTACTAGATCAGAGAATGGTTAAGTTCAAATATTCTATTTGATCGGTCGATATCAATAAAAAATTTAGCAAATAAGATATACGGATTATTTTGATGGCAAGTATATTTTCTAAAAACCCAGTAAAGAAAGCGCCTCCACTCCGAGTAGCGACTACACGGGCCGTGTGTAGATTAGGTTGTGCGATTATTTAATAACTCCGAGTCACCGAGATTAAGGTACGAAGTCATCTGCTATTATTGCGGATGACGTCACTGAAACTTTTTAATAGCCGTTTTCCGTGTATACACCGGCATATAACGCAAAGGCTTTGCCGCTAAGGAAATGCGGACGAAAGTGGGCGTTCAATTAAACCGACAAACTTTTTGCGCTCGAAGAGAAGAAAAACTGCAGCGATGACGCGCGGGAATGATGGCAACTTTCGAGACGATAAAAACTAAGCTCGTCTTGTCATCAAACTATACTCGTGGATATGGCGATAGTACAACGGAAAGCCACGGAAAGATGATCCTACTTAATGCAATGACACTCATCACACCGCCAACAGATGATATATTTAGAGCACAAACATTATAGTAATATCTAGTAAGTATGGTAACCATATTTTGATTGATTATCGGCGTAAAGTTGTTAATTCGATTCCAAAATGTATGCTTAAGGATTATTATGAGCAAGACTATCAGCTTTCAGAGTTCCAAATTAATGTCCCACATTCAAATATTGAAATATCATTAATATATTGTGTATTTTTAACTCGAATCATTTCCAAACGTATGTCTGTCTTAAAGCCAATATCCCATCTCCTCTTACAACAGTGGTCAGCCAATCAATAGAGAACACCTTAGTATTGTTTGTTTAAGTAATTTATAGTGCTCCTATCGATTATTCCCCACCTGCAATGAGTAGAGTATTGTGAGAAGGGGGCGAGAAGTGATTCGATGAGTGTATAAAACGTTAATTTTTTTTATGCATTTTTAATATCTATCATAATATAATAATACAATTGAAAAATTACCATTAAAAAAAAAAAAAAAAAAAATAAGAAATCGTCCAAACCTAACTGGATCTTGGAGGGGAATCCCCTTTTACCAAAAATTATATTAAAATCTGGTCGATCATCATAGCACTACATACAATATGATACTGTTTGGAATAACTCTGTCATTAATATAATTAATTTATCATTACTTAAGCTACACGTTTATTAGTGACTTTGATATATAATTTTTTGCCCTGTATAATTGTTGTTTCGTGCAGAAATCTCTGAAATATAAAAAAAAATAAAAACAACTGTGCAAGTCGAATGTCTACGAGTGAAGAATTTATCTATCCATTGCCATTGCAGAGCTCTTGCAGAGTCAGTCGAACTACTATACACGACGATGTATATGCGGACCCAACGCTGATATATATATAAATATACACACCTAAATATATAAAGCATTAACACAAAACTTCCGAGACGAGTTTCTGAGGAAGTTTTCAGAGGATTATGTGCGCGAGGGAATATTGTACATGTATTTATTTATTGTGTGTGTGCACGCAAGCGCGTGTTGCCGTGTCGACGAATAGAATGATAAGCTTACACTCAACCGATTTAAAGCCGGCAAAGGATATAATATACTTTATAGTAAATAGTGTTACTCGATAAATGTTGAAATCCACTAACTACATAATATTATAATCTAAAATATAGTAAAATGTCCGACTAAATATAGACGATAGTGATCGTATCGGTGGAGTGTATAATATAATATTATTATAATATTATGTACCTATATCGTATGAATAAGTAATAATTGTGCCCACATCACCCAAGCACTGAATCCAACTGTTTTAATATTTTCCGAATTGCTGCTAATTATTGTTTTATCTGAAATAGGTTTTTTTTATGAGGAAATTCCATAGCAATTAGAGGGAATCCCGATTAATAGTTATAATTTGATTTATTTATAAGCAATACAATGTGATTTTTATGCATACATTAAAAAAAAATTAAAACTTTGTTTCTTTTTTAATGAACTCATTTCAGCGTGTGGAAATGCGCAAGCATAATATACGTTGTATTATCACCTCTATTCATTCGATTAAGCATCTATGTGCTAATCGAATTTTAGTATGATAGTATAGATACATTCGCAATATTACGAGGGGTTCGAAAATCATTGCGCAATTAATGTCATATAGTTAAATAGGTACTTAATCGATTAATTTTCAACGAATAATTTAAAACTGTAAAATAATATAATATAATGCTATTTTTATTACGGGACACAATATAATAAAGGCAGATGTATCGGTTTCGTCACGCGTATCGTAATCCGTATCCTACATTATATGGCGTACAATAATGATCCAAATTTTAAATTACAAATATTTGCACAAGCAAAAAACCCCCATCTATGACAAAATCGACCCGAGTGATAAAATGTCATGGCCGTGATCAAATAATAATATTATAGCGAAACGAAAACACGAGAAAATAATAACGAAATCAACGCACTGAGAGCTAGTAAGACGGCATTTATCGTATTTGCGGGGCTAAAAATCGACGACTTGATAAGTCAAAGTATATATAATGATAATTGAACTTGTTGGTCTCATTTTGTAATATTATTTTACCACACCACGAAACACAGATATTGTTATTAGATTTATAACCCTTTTCTTTTCATCCCGTTTTCACTAATTTAAATTAATATTGTGAACACATTAGTTTTAATATAGTATAATGACGAGTTAATTTTAAATCAAAAACCGGCATTATGTCTTATGAGTGTTGCAAGTATATTTTATTACTACCAATCTAAGTTGACGCTCCCCTCACTCCTGACAGAAATCTTATGCACAAAATCACATGGAAAAAAAACTGTTAGTTTAAGTTAATAAGATACTTTTATTTTTAATTAGCAAAGTTATTTTTCAATGTAATTATAAGTTGACGACTGTCAACTTTTAATTTGTTTAATTTTCGTTATACATATATTTTTTTTTTTAACTCGACTGAACTTTAAATTATTCATTAGCTTGTCAGGAGCGTTTTAGTTGATTGTATCTGCAGGTATACCTACAGCAGAGATAAATATATTTTCCACCCAACAACGGATTCGACCGTTTGTTTCTATTGTACATCGCCGGGAATGGCTAACTATATATATATTATTATTATTATATACTCACTTGGGTTTTGCTGGCGTGGAATTCCGCAGCTGAACTTATGTCTTCCTGAATGGGCGGAGGCGGGGGCGGTGGCGTGGCCGGAGAGTAAAACAACTCTCTTGTGTTGGCGCTCGCGTACGTAATTACACCTTCCCGTACGGTGTCCAAAAGCTGTATGAGAAAATCCGGTTGATTACACAATCGTATAATTTGGCCCAAAAGTTGTATAAGATTAGTAGTAGGTACTATACTACGAACCTAGATTTTCGCGGTTAAAATGAACTTTTTTTTTTTTAATGCAAACCCACACAGGACCAAACTTAAAATGTTGTACTTAAACCTCGACCAAACTAAACAATTCGAATTGTCTAGAAAATTGTGACTTGTATACACAATTCGAGAAAAAAAAACTTTTGTCAAATTTCAAAATAAATTTTATACGATTTTCAATAACGTTTTACACTTCTAATTGAAATTATGAATAATATTAATATCTTTTATAATCGTTCTTCAAAAATTATTTAGAAACCAAACTGTTGGGATTTTTTATTATAATAGTATTACGTTTTTCTTTAACTCGTCGAAAACACTGCTACGAGTAAAACATTATAATATTATATTATATAATACAGAATTGTTGAAAATTATGCAACCTATTGATTTTTTTTTATCGCAAAATCGAAGAAAGACGAGGAATTTAATTCGGTTAACTCGTTGCTTACACGAAAGAAATTTGGAACTCGGTCTGCTATAAATGGACTGCAAAATATATAGAAAACGAAATTTCTATACGATTAGACATGCAACTCAAACAAAAAATTCAGAGCACAACAGCAATATTATTATACGGGGTGTCTACCACGTGTTTGTGCACTTTAGTAACTTTTTACTCTAATTAATATTGTTGCTCGATTTTGAGTAAGTGCATACGTGACATTGTAATAATTTACAGTTTTTCAAAAAAATCAAAAAATCCAAAATCAGAATACATATATCTGTGTTTTCCTTAATAACTTGCTGCAGGCATTTAAGGGACTAACCATTGCAGTTATAAAATTTTAAAAATCGAACAGGATATAGAACTTTATAGGTACATATAAAAACCATAACACGTTATTCGATATCTTTCCTCTACGAGGAAAATCTATGAATCATAATTAATGTGTTTTCTTTAATAATAGTAACCATTTACGACGACGAAAACCTTACGAGAAATCGGTCAGAAACATTTTATTGTGTATCCGCAAAAACATGGTTTTTTTTTTACTTAATATTATCATTATTATTAGATATAGTTGGCGGGTGTACACCAAACGTCAAGCACCCTGTAGAGTGTTTTCGTGCACGCAAACGGTAATCGAGGTGGTTTCTCGATCACGAAACACGAATTCGTCCTTACCTTCGTGTCCTCGGACGTATTGTCGTCGCTGTGATCGTTCGTGGCCCTAGCGACCATCGGCAATTCGCGAAGCTTCGCATAATCGCCATCGTCTTCTGGACTGACTCCCCTTCGGTCGATTTTATGCATTGGAATGCCTCTGTGACGAAAAATAAATAAATATCATATTACAATACGAGACGGATCGAACACGCAGTATAGGTATTCAATTTAGAATATTTATAGAAATAATGTGTATTATCCGTTAAAAAAAATTACCTTGTACAACAATACGATATTATTCATTTATTATCAACTTGTATGTGTAAAACGACAATTGGATCCCAAGAAAAACGTAGGCGGCACGTCGTAGATATCGAATGATTAAGATAAAAGCATTTTTTTGTCTACTCTGTACAAGACGGCGGTTATTCTTATTATTTCTCTTTGACGAGTTACTTTTGGCATTGTTTTCGTATGCCGTCATTCATTGTTAAAAACCATTGTAATTAATACGCGTAGGTGCGCTCAGAAGGGAACTACCATCGTTTCTCATTAAACACAATTGACAAAACGTGTGACTGCTTCTTTCGTTACACCGAAAGTTCTTAATTGACGTTTTGTGATAATGTACATTATTATTGAGTAACCTGCAGCGGGCTACCGTTTGGAAAAACACAAATATGATCTATTATGTCATAGGTAATAGGTTAACGTTTATAATTTTACATCGACAGTAATAATAATGAACATTTTTTGTAGTTATTCTTATTTGTTTCCTGACAGTTTAAGGCGGAACTAACGTATAATGATTATCGGCGGCATGACTGTTATTTTAAAATTTGAACGAAAACACATTTTTAATTACTTAAAGTTGGTTTAAGTAACTTTTAGACAGAATTCCCCTCCCATACACTTACTTTGTAGATTTCTTTGTCCGTTTACAACCAAAACAACCAGACGGCTCGTCCGAGTCTTCCATTTCGCTTAAACAACTTCGGCCTGAACTCGACTTTGGTCTAGGCCAATATATTTGTTCATCGCTCATTGTCTTTGGTGTTCTTTTAAACTTGTGTTTATCTGAAATAAGAGTAGTATAGTTAAATATTGGGAATAAAAGAATTTAATCGGTCATGTTTTGAAATTTGAACTGGGATTTGGTGAGAAGCGAAGATTAGCCCCGAACGCTCAGGATTTTATAATTTCATATTACCCCTCACATTATTACATTATTTAATCTGATATTTACATTATATAATAAAATAAAGAACCGTCCATATTATATTTGTAATAATATAATGTTCACAGAAGAGCATACGTTATTGTAATAATATTACTTACAGCGTACATAAGACTTCATAACTATTATACTAGGTACCTAATGATTAATAAATGTAAGTGTAAATTTAATAGAATATGTAAGTGCAACAAATTGAATTGAAGGCGATATTAATTATGTGTAATTAATATAATATGTGTGAGAGACAAAAACCGAGAAAGTCATTGTATATTTCCAACTATTTGACTTATCATAATATAACAGCGTTAGTATTTTGAAGTTTTAAACGTGTATTTATTTCAAATTCCGGAGAAACTTTCGATTTTTATTAACTTTTTAATAATTTTAATTTGATACACATTAGGTTAATGGTCATAAAAAAATTTTTATAATAGTTTCATAAGTGACTATTCGACGTTCGTAGATTTTACAAAGTAATAATTACTTATATTTTTTTAGAATAATAAATTTCTTTATGAATACTTTATATGTTGACAAATTAACCATCCACTGAAGTCACTCCATCCTGTCTAGTGTCTATACTAGAAAAAATATTATAGTGATCAAATTTGTTTTTTCATATCGGCTTTTAAATATTTATCGAATCAAATTTATGATTTGTTGACTATCAAATTCTGACTTATCGATTTTGTGTTCTCTTAACTTGACTCGAATTAATATAATTTTCTCATTTCATTAACTTCTTCACCTTTGGTAGTAATAGCAGTAGTATTGGAGAGATAATAATATTGTTGTGCAAGCTTACCCGAGTTCGCAGCGACACGCGTGTAGTCGGCGACCACGCGTTCCACCACGGACGTGACGATGCGTTTGGCCGTCTTCTCAGTCAGCGAGTACGTGGCGCCCTGGGCCACCACCAGCAAGGGTACACGCTGGGCGTCGTCACCTCCACCGCCTGCGCCACCTGCACCACCTGCACCGCCACCACAGCCGCCGCCCCTGGGGTCGTACTCCAGGAACAGGTGCAGGTTGAACACCCAGCAGGGCTTGAGCGTGAGCACGGACCACATGGCTATCCAGACGAACACGTGCGCGGTGGAGTTGAGCAGGCACGCCAACACGACGCCGTTGAGGGACGACCGGAACACGACGATGGCGTTGTACAGCAGTGGGCTCTCGGAAGCGACGACGGCGAGCAGGGCCAGCACGCTGGCACAGTACGGCATCAGGCTCGAGTAGGCGTCGGCCACGGTCTTCCGGCCGCCCGTCTGCCGCTTGACGAACCCGCTGAACCGCGTGTACCCGTAGTAGTACACAATCGAGTTGGACACGAATATCAGTACGGTGGTGACGGTGAACAGCACTGCGGTGTCCAGGTGATCCAGCACCAGGTGGTACGTGGTGGGCCCGGCCGGCAGTTCCTTCACCATTTTGCAGACGCCCAACACTTGCATCTGCGGCAACGTAATATAATGAAAATCATAATAACAATAAGTGTACCTAATTATAATGATTTTTTCGTCGAGCCCGAGCCGAGGGTTTAATAACTGTGGTTACCGGTTAAAGGGTTGGAAAAATTACATTTCCTCCCCGGAGAACGTTTATAAACTGTAAACGCTTTTTTTTTCCACCCGGCGAGTGAAAAAATGGAATACCTACGAGGCAGTTACGGTCCAAATAAGATTAATATTAGCACGAACGTATCGATGCTGTTCGTGTATCTAAAAATATTATAGTGTGACTGGTAGGAGGACCCGTGTGCTGTTCTGTGAAGAAGTTTGACGAACCAGATACAGAGCGAACAGCGACTACAGAGGGTTCGTCAACCACATAGGGTTGCCGTCGTGATATCGATAGAGTCGTTTTCAGTGGCAGCAGGGGCGTGACGAAAATAATATGAGTGTTTCGGGCTGAAAGGCATTTTCTGTGCAAATTGCAGCCCTCATCCGCGACTCGTGCCGAAAAAGTAACCCATGAATGAAATAGCTCACTTCTCGCCCTCACCACGCAGTATACGCTGTGGGTGTATTAGGTATATTTTTAGTCACATTTATAAATTTATTAAAACTCATATTAATTGCAGCAGGACACAAACCGATATGGCACCTAAAACTATATAGAATAATCCCATAATCTTTATAGCTTTAATATTTTTATACTTATTTAATAACTAATATTAAGGTGAAGTGCCGGGGCTATTTTTAAAACATGTCGTTTATATCTCGTGCCAAAATATTTTTGGAAACCGATCGGCTTATACAGACATCAGCTGGAACCCTTACTGGTACTTTATCTCCAACTTTTTTACTGTTGAAAACTTTTGTTTTGAAGTCAGTAACTGCAATTTTCTACATGGAATTTAAGGTCGACTTAGACGTGACCAAATAGTTTTATGGGTTGGATTACATGCTCCAAAATTGTGGTTACAAATTATTTATAAGTTATAACAAATGGGTACGAAGAAGTTAGGGTCTGGAGTAGAAATTTGGAATGCCTTGTGTCGGAAGTAAGGCTAACCAAGAAGAACAGAAAGGAAACATTTGAAACCACTTGGAACCCAAACCTTCCTGGAACCGTTATTTTATTTATTTTAAGTACTGGAATCAAGCTATTTCTATGATATTAATTTTGAATGCTAATTTAAATCTAATATTTACTAAATAAAATTGACCTGTAAAATTGTTTTATTTGGAAATTCCGTTTTGTACTAGGTACGGTAACCAAAACTATTACGATATCATCCGATTTTAGTATAATATTTTATTATACGTTTCTATTGTTTAATATTATATTATTATAATATACCTAAATATATTTATATATTCATTTCTATTTCTATTTTTATATATATTGAAATGGCGATATCTCAGTGTAAATAATATTTTCTCACCTTGTAGAGGATGCAAGTGAAGAGGTACAGTGACAGGCACTGTATGGCGTTGGCGAATAGCTGGACCGAGAAAAGCGTGGCGAAACACTTGTTAGTTTCCCAAAAAACGGAAGCATACCGTCCGCAGTATATGAACAAAGCCATAGCGTAATTGAAAAACTCGACGGACATGGCCCCATCAGTTTCCGCAGCATCTGCGAATAGTTGGGGATTTAATGGGTATTACATATAATAAGACATAATATAAGTGATAGGACTATTATAGAGCGGACTGGGTAGGTATTCAGGTCAGGTTAGGTTTGGCGGATTATCCCCTGTCATTTTATTCTACTTGTCTAAACCTTAAATGCTTATTATTTATTGATAAACCAAATGGTTTGTTCCACAATCGATATTTATACGGAACTTTTAGGTGAGCAAACAGCTGTGGTTTATAAATTAAAATAAGGGTCGTCATTATAAAATCAAGCAAATAACTATGAATAAAATAATATGATGATTATTTCCAGTGCACGATAATATGCAACTACAAAAACATTGAAGTTATTACATATATCAACACTTATTATTACGTCGCATAGGGGATATAATACATTTTTGTTTATAAAACAGCATCTTTATATATATCTCCATATTTTTTAATAATTAATGAAATGTGAATGAGTAATACCTATTTAATATAATAATATAATGTACACGGTATATCAAACTCATGGTATAATTTTAATAAAAAGTTATAAGTCATAGCTAATAACCGAAAGTGCGAATCAAATGTAATAGGTAAGCAACTGTTAAGCGCATCTTTTGCACTTTTGCATAACAAATTGACAAAATATTATGTAAAATGTATTTTTATAATTTTATAAATAGAATTGAAAAATATTATAATAATTGTGAAAAAATAGTTTAAATAAACATATTGACCACAAAAGTATAATTAATTTTGGATACAGCATACGTCATATTAACCATGATTTTATAAAAATTCTGAAAAAGTACACAAATATTTATTGAAAATATGCAACTATGATTAGCATTTAAAATATGTAAAAATTATTTGTATTATTATATGGGTTTATTAAAGTAATTTAAAACAAATAAGGACCTAATTCCTTTTAAGAAAGAATTCGTTAAACCCGAATCCCTTATTTTTAAAATTAATAATGTATTAATAATAAAATCATATTGTTAAAACTCAAATCCTTCATTTAAAATCAAATGCATTTAACAATATAATTAATTTTTCGATAACATTGTTTCTATTAAATTAACAACAAAAAGTTACAAAATGTTCAATAATTGTAGTTTTATTTAATAGCTGAAAAATGTAGTAATAATTCGATTGTGGTTTAAGAGTTTCATACATTTTAATTGCTGTTTAAAATGTTTAATAGCCCATACAATATTATGACAGCTATATCGTTTTTATAACATAAACAGAATATAACATTGAACATTAATAATTTTTAAGATTTTTGATGATATATTTTTTTTAGCTAAAAAAAATTGAGAACCTCTGAATATGAATTCCACACCGAATGTAATAATTATTAGCTACTTTCAAATCAAATATTATAACCAATATTCGACCTTAACATTGCGTATATCAGGACTATTTTTAAAATGAAAAATGGTGGCCTATATAGTTTAAAAAAAAATGCTGTATAGATGAAAAAAAAATCTCGATAATTATAGAATGATTACAATATTATGATACTTACATGATCTATTGGTCGACGGCGATGACGACTGTGGGACGAGCACCGACTGTGTCCTGGGTTCGATGTGCATATTTTTAAGCGTGATGTTGGGTGGACTCGACTGATGTCCGCCGAGGACCAGAAAGTCCAAGTCGGTATTCCAAATATTATCTGAAAACGGACACAACACGCTTAGATGAGTAAGGCAGTAGATTAGATCGAGTGCATTGTTAGCGGGTCTCTCCGCGTGTTATGCGGGGAAAATTTATATATAAATTCATAGTACATAACCTCCTATTGTTCATAGGAATTAGTGAAAAGGCAACCTTGCAGGGCATCATTTAGATACCCCTATACCTACGTCCTACAGTATAATATAATATTATATAATACACCTAGGTACAGTTAATATTATAATGCTAGGCCACCATCGGGTTAACATTCTGGAGGTTGACTGCATTAATTAAGAAAAAAATATAATATTTAGCGTCATAAAGCGCGTTCATGAGTTGATAAGCGGATTAAAAACAAAGTTATGTACGTAAGCATTCCTACACAAGAGAAGTAAAAATTAAAAATGACACAATACACTACACGAATATTAAAAACAAGGATATGAAAATTCCTACAGCAGTCAACAATAGTTAGTGAATTCCTACGTTTGTTAAAAAAACATTTTACACTCATTTAATGTTTTAAATACACTAATATAAAACATTTTCGTACAAAAATAGAATATCCATTTAACGCTTAAAAAAAAGTTTGAAGAGTTTCTCAAGCTAAATTAAAAAAAAAAAAAGCACGTTACTCGATATTTTTCCTGTACAAGGAAAATCTATGAACCATAAATATGTTTTTGTTAACAAGTATAACCATGACAACGAAAATCTTACAAAAATCAGTCAGCAAAATTTTCTTGAGTATTCAACTCAAAAACATAATATAATATTACATATTTTTAAAAAAATGGTCTCGCTACTGCCGTCAGTTTTAACTAAAAAGACCTAAAGTATTGACAAAATTAAAGTTAGTTATAACGTTGTCCAAGTTTGATACTGAAAAAAAATTTGACTCACCAGAAAATTGTCTATAGATCCTACGAAGCACTTTGTAAAAACTAAATTTTATATTATTGTGAACTGTAATTGAAAACTTGAAAATATCAACTTTTTCGAATCATAATCATAATTAATATTAAAAACGAAAAATGTTGCGTACGATCTACAGATATTTTTCTGCTGAATTCAAATATTTTTTCAGAATCAAAATCAGACAACATTAACTAACTTTAATTTTGTCAAACCAATGTATGTTTTTGTAAAGTTCGTGTAGTTAAAATGATATGGTTATCGAGTTATTGACATGCGCATGCGCGTACGAGAGAGGATACCAGCATTTAATTTCACTCACACTAATAATCATTTACAACCAACACATTGATCCCGGGCGGCTATGACAAGATTAGAAATTACCTAAATGTTGCCCCTTAAAAAATGACCGTAGCGAGGTCCCTTAATGAGAGCGATATCGCTAACATTGTCCTCTGCACCATTATCGTCCACACCTCCAAAACTTATTTATGCATTCTGCACCACGTGCGATTTAATATTTATTGTTATTATTTACTTGTGGACATGAGACCGGCCTGTATGAGTCTGGCTTCGATCATGAGCTTGACTACCAGCAGGGCGAGTGCCGTGAACGAGTGCAGCGTGGAAGAGGACGGTGGCCCGTGGGTCCAGCAGGACGACAGGCGGCGGCGGCGGACGTCCAACAGGTTGCCGAGCTTGTCCGAGTCGTTGGCCATGTTTCCGGTACGGAAGACGGCTGTGAACGCCACCAGGGGCACCAGCACGGCGGCCATTCCGATGGTGGCCACGAAGCAGTGGACTTCGTACCGGGGCGGGAGCACGCTCTTCGGTGGCCATACTACTTCCAAGTACTCTGAAATTTTTTATAAAAACCAAAGTTTAAACAGGTGTATATATGATGTGTGCCACGAGATTTTGTATTCGATCGGGTCGCATTCAAAAGTGCAAGCTGACAACAATTTATTTTACGGTGGCAAACCGCGATTTGGTTCTAAATAAATGATTTTATTTTATATGGTTAACTTACTACCTAGCTAATTATCATGGGTACGGTTCAGTGCAGACACGTCAAGATGGATGCTGAGCGTATTTTAATTATTATAATTATATTAGCAGTAAAAATATTAGTTTTTTTAATTTCATAAATGGTGAATGATAATCGCTAGCTGTTCACTAAAACATTTTTACATCTAAATATAGGTTATCGTGTTAAATTTGAAAGTGTGAATACTTAACACTTTATTTATAAGCTACTGACTATACGTAGTAGGTACATTGTACATAGTATTATATAAAGTATCTACTATAGTCTAATAGTCTATACAGACATCAATAAGGACTTGACACTAAACGTTAAGATTAACTAACATAACTAGACATTGTGTTACATTGTATTACAATTATAATGTAAGTACTAGAAAGATATAAAATATATTAAGTACAATAATATATTACTTATATATGGGTGGTTAGATATATCATAATTTTTTTTTTCAATAGTAAAGCAAATACTTTTTTATTTTATTTTCTATCTTTTTTATTAACAAGAAATTAGTCAAGACCTAAAGAAATAAATGGTACTATTTTTGTAGCTTTCATAATATTGGACACTTTAGTTTTCACGAAGGCCCTTAATCATGTAAAGAACTATAATAAAATAAATATTTTACTTTCAAATTCCCAACCTCTTGTAGAAATCTCTTATGGGTAAATCATGTTATATACTAAATATTTCTAGTATACTAACATACATCTAATACTATATAGTTCTATACACTATTTGTGGCTGCATAATTGTATACAAATGCAGACATGCAGTGAAGTCGGTCACGTGTAAAGTTTTCAAGACGTCCCGACAACGATAGCGTATTAGACAAAGACCATAGTGATTATTATAAAAAAAAACGAAAACTGGACTTACCTATAGGTGGTATTAAGCTATCAAAAAGTATTTCGTTTAAATACGATATTTTAAATTGAGTCCAAAATATACGGATAAAAGTTGTTTGTTGTGAGTACGCAAATTGTTTGACTGCGGACTTTTGAGCAGGTTATTTTTGCATAATATCATCAGTACGAATACACAACGAGCGCCTTTACGCACGTTCGGGCCCTAATAATTTGCATACCGAAACCCATTAGAGTGCGCACATAATATTATTAGTTATCGTAAACACAACTATAGACTTGAACAAGTGCTGCACAAGTAATAGGTAGGTATAATACATGCAGCGGACCGGTCGGCGGCGCAAAACCGTTTATGATAATAATTTAGCGGTATGTACATGGTATACGGTATATATACTATATAGCAAAGTTTTGAGTGTCTCCCATCCTACCGATGTATTATCTCGCGAAACTTTCGACAACTTCCCTACAACATTTACGAGTGTACGTCATCGTATTATTCCGTTTGCCATTATTTTTTCCACTACATTTTCGATACCTACAATCTACATAATATTATGTAATATTGTATAATCAACCCACTCATGTCTACCGAGGTTTTTTTTATTAAATTAATCCACGCGAAAAGAAGTGAAAAATATAATTTATAATACCTGTATAATACTTAAAACCTGCGGTGCTGTGTCAAAGGATTTTTTTCCCGGAGGAAAATTGTACGGCGCTGGAAATTATTATTCTCTCACGGATGCACAGACACAAATTATTGAGATATTATACCTAATAAATTTATTTTATAGTTATAAACTAATGTATTTATGAATAATCATAATACTACAGTCATTGTCAGTCAACAACTGAATAAAATAGTATTTTAAATATTTTAAATAGGTTACCTATTACCTATTCAGATTCCAATTACGGAATTTAAATTATAGGATGTCATAAAAAAACCCAAAGTAATCGCCTTAATAAAAAGAAAGGATAAAAAGATTTTTGTAAAAATTGTGTCGTTGTAAAACAGAATTATTTTTTGTTTGCAAATATTCTGAAAATCGACTTCAAAATATTATTGAAGCCAGCTAAACGGATCACCTTGGAGTATGATGTAGAGATGCATTTAAAATTATTTGGAGTTCAAAAAATGTCTTAATTATTATTAAAGTCGTTTTCCTTATCAAAAATTAGGTCAGATGACCGAAGACCAGGCGAGTGCCAAAGACGGAGTTGTGCTGCAAAACAGCGCCTTATCGTCATTCAGACTTACACGATCACGGAAAGCCTCAGCTAGCTATACTATCATATAGTTTGTCAAGCCCACCGTTCTCCTACACACAATACAATAGATCACTCGAGCAAGATCCTTTGTGGTATAATATCGTTCAACCTCAGAAAATACTTCGCGGTGTAGGTGGTAATCGTAAAATTATTATTATAATAATATGTGTGATGGTCCATCACACATACCGATGGGAGTCTTGAAATTCAAGAGAACTTTAGAGTGAATTGACCTGTTATAAAATGTAAACGTAAAATTATTATCTAGGGCACGTCGGAGACTTTTAACGGATATTATTATTGAGAAGCAAGTTATGACCTTTTTGAAAATATACATTTTTGTAAATTTTAAAACTATCATAATTTACATAAAAATTATAATATCAATAAAATCCTCCGAGATGCCCCAGATAATGATTTTTTAAATTGTCCCGTTAATTGTATTCACAATTATTTTAAAAATAACAGAGTAATATGGATTATTGTTAACGTTTCGTCGTACGTTTGTAAGACGGAGACCATACATTCGGGTATGGCGTCCTCTTAATAATGTTAATAAATTTGAAATATTATTTAAAATACAGTAAACTATTTTATATGAAAACAATGTGGAATAACTCAGATTCTATGGTAAAAGTCCGTCGTCGTTTTGATGTCAGTATAAGTCTTTCTTTACTCTATGGTATATAACTTGACTGTATATTTCGACGGCATGAAAGCCCGTGTCACACGATGACAGAATGTTTGGAATGCTATTACTGAAGTTGCAGACGAGCCTTTGTACGGAAACGTCGTCGTATAATATTATAATACACAAACTATATACACGCAAACATCAAATAATTGAAACAGTTTTCGGCTCGTTCGTTTTCCTAATCCGCGAGGGCGGCGCGCAAAATTTGTTCGTCTACAATTTGATACGTAAATGACGAGTGTATACGAAGTTTTCCGATATCTGTCGGAAAACACGCACGTACCTGAGAGCGACCATATAGTTGTATCAGTGTGTTATATCATATTATACTGTACTCTATGCCAATACGAGACATTATGACAATATTATGTAATATTTCACTCTATACGGCTTTTGATAATCATATTTTGTTTCTGTCAGTTTGCCGAGTCATGCGCTCTAGTCGTTTACTGTACACACAGTATTGTTACGAATATTTTTCTCAGATGTGTTCACAATGAGTATTTAAACAGACACTTGGTGTCATTGAAATACGTATTCGAATGCCGTCTTAAGTCTTTCAAAAGTTTTTGAGTACAAATACATTTTAAAAGTATTCGAAATAGGTAGGTACATTACAAGTACTTGTTGTAGTATAATATGTAGTATAATATTAAAATGCTTTTACATTTATCGCAAACGATTAATTATTGAATAAAATTATTAATAAACATTTAAATTAAACAATTAATAAACACATTTTTAAATTGGTATGAGAACTGTCAAGTTACACTTCGATATGAATTTTATGTATTGTGTCATCTGCATATTTAAAGAAATTTAAAAATTCTTAGAAGCATTGTAAAATATTATTTTAAGACCAATTTTAAAATACTGTAATACACGAAATTGAAATACAACGGTCAAAAGAAAAAAAATATTTAGTACTCTGGAATAAAATAACAAATACAAAGTATTTTGAAAGTATTTGAAACACCGAAAAAGTATTTAAATACAAGAATTTGTCATTTGAATACCTACTAAACAAGACATAGATAATCATACAATTGTAGCCAACAATTGAATTAAATATCATTTTTTTAAATAGATATCCTCTAAGTAAATAACTTATACAATATAAGTCCGACTCTACATACATATTTAATTATAAAGATTACGTATAAACTATATTATAAATGTTAAAAAAAAATGTCATTTAATTATACTCCTCATGGGGACTTGAAATTTTACAGGCCTGTTTTACAAACAATTATGGTAAATATTGGGTATGATAAATCAACCACTTCACGTCTCTCAGAGAGGTGAACCCATATGAGGACTACCTATGTATAGTAGGTATTTAAAAAAAGTAGTTGATTTTTGGATTTTCACGTTTGTTCCTGTTATATGAACTGTTATACTAAAACATTGATAAGTACCTTTATTGTTGCTATGAATATTTCCTACATAAAAAAGGTGTCTCTTGGTAATATTTCTTTAAAATGTTCTGTTATGTCATTACACTAATGACAATAACCCTCAACTCATATTTTGATAATACTGACTTTCAGGTAACAAAATAATTCTATTCTCTTTGCGGTTTTTTTCATTGTTCATCTCCATATTATAGTGATAAAACCGTTATTTTACCTCAAAAACCAATAAAAGTGTTATCACGTAACTATTTATCACATATTGTAACATCAAGTAACTTATCATAAACCCGTGTGTTGAAAAAGTGACTGAATGTAGCCCTACTTATTACTTCGGTTTAAAAACAGGTAATTAATTATAATATTATGTAAAAATTTGACTTTTTATTACTTATTATACAATGTTAAATATTGATATAAACTGTAGGGTCGCAATTTCTTTTTCACCAACTGGGTCGTGTTAAGTTTTCCAAACAGATGGTCTGCAATAATAGAACGGTGTTATAAAATAAACGTAGGTAGCACGCTTTTCTCTAATATTTCCTCGGATAATATAGTTAACAA